AACTCTGAGAAAAAACAGACATTCCCTTTATGAACTTTAGTCAGTATTTAGTCATCTTATACCACTCCTAGCTAGTAGATTTACACAGTAATGATGACAGGATCAGGTCATTAAGCAACATTATGGAATGTCAGTCTTTTAAAACACTCTCTACCTTGCTCAGAATTAGAATTTTGGTTATTTTTGGCAATTAGAAACTTATATTTCAACAAACACTGCACAATAAAGTGTATTTCGAGTGAAGATATGATTGTGAAGTTGATAATTTTAGTTCCATTAAAAATACTAAACAAAAGAAACAAAGGAATTTTAACAACACTTGAACTGAAATTCAAAGACTGAAAAGGCAATGTGGGGAAACAAAACATTAAAGAGAGGGTATGAGTAGACCTGGGCTTTAAGTGTAGAATTATACAGAAAGATCCATCAATGCCCAAATGAAAACTTAAAAAATTTAAACGTTTAAAGAAATACTTGGTGCTTTCTAAAACGAATTCCTTCCATAATATGACTATGTGCTGCAGACAGTGTGTTGTGTGTAGATCGTATTATTGATGTGGAAAAAAAAAAAAAAAACATTTGTAACAACCCTAATTCTTCTTTAAGTCATTTTATTGATGCAAATTAATTTTAAAAATATTAATGGGTTTCACTATGGCACATTTGTGAATGCATGTAACACAGTGTGATAAATTTCACTCCTCAGTACCTTCCCTGGTTCACTCCTCCTTCCTCCCTTTGTTCTTCTTCCTTTAATATAATAAATAACTTCAATTCTTAATCCCAATTCTAAAGAGGAAAAAATGACCTAAGCTCCAATACTATTTTATTTGCCTAGGAATATTCAAGATTATGATTTTAAAAGGCTGAAATGCTAAGTTAGGCAAGCACAGAAACTAAAAATCCACACATCCACCTAAGGGGAGGCTAAATGCTAGCCTCTGTAAAGGAGAATGTCTGGATATTTAGGCTATGCCCAGAAGCACATAACAGTTCTCTAGCATATATGTGACTTCTTGATGAGAGATATTGCTTTAAGTGATGAATTCTCAATCAAGGTACTATTTTGTTTCTAAACTATAGGTGTTAGACTTTTCATAGTGAATCAACAGAAATTGTATAAGTACTAGCACTCAAGGGGACTAACCAGATTGGAGGACACCTTGCTACTCCACGTTCCAGCTATGCAAACATGAGTAAGTTTCTTGGAAAGTATAGATATCAGCTTTCTTATCTGTATAATGATATGAATAATGACATTTACCTCAAAGAGGTTACTATGAAGATTAAATAAATACATGGGTAGCACTCTTAACTATGTCTGGCAAACAGAAGGCATGCAATAAATGTTTGTTATTATTATTATTGATAATGGAACCTATGCAGATATTCATATTGGATGAAACTGAGAAGCAAACTAATGCACTGGCCCTAGTCATCATGTTCTTCTTTCAATTTTGCAAATTTCCCAATACCTTTTCTGCATTACGGCACTCAGCATATGCTATTCTCTCTGCCTATCATTCTCCTTTTCCCTTATTTCCCTTTGCAAATTCTTCCCCAAATTTTGGATTTCTGCTGCCTATTCTTCTTCTAGGAGTCCTAATTTTTCATTCTTGACCAGCAGTGCAACTATCATCCTATAAACCAAGCCATTTAATCATTCACTTTACTCCTATATCTTGATCACAGCTGAGTGTGCATGAATGTGTGTATATGTGTGTGTGTTTGTAATTATCCATATGAATTATTGCTATTATCTAAGTTCCACAGGGCAAAAACAGCATCTATTTTCTTCATCCAATAAATCCTTTATCACAATGTCTGCATATTATCATTATTCAATGAATGTTTATTCAATAAAAGAATGGGGGATTAAATTAAATGAATGAATAAATATAGTTCATGAGAAATAGAGCTGATCATGATTGTTTCACAGATAATGTTGAATTCTAGAACATCTCACAGGTTTTTAATATATATTATAAAAATGTTAAATAAGAATCATAGCTGAACTTCTTTTTGTGTCTTCTTTACATAATAGGAACTTTAGAAGAAATGTCATTAAGCATAAAAGCCACATTTTCCTCTAAGATTTAACAAAAGAGAACAGGAAAAATAACTATAACATTAATTAGAAGATCATAATCTTTCCATAAAACATAAATGAGGTACCAATAAATTACAACATGCATAATGTTATATAAATAAGGTAAATAATCCCTTCAAAATTGTTCTTTTACTTAACTGTGGACACTTGGAGAGAAGAGCATTCAGAAAAAGAAAAAGAAATTTTTTCAACTAAGAGATGTGAAAATAGTGACTTCATATATATATATATATATATATATATATATATATATATATACACACACACACACACATACCGTGTGTGTGAGTGTGTGTGACAATATATATTGTAAACATAGTACATATGTGATGGTTTACTTACATTAAATTACAAGGAATAATAATCTAAGTAGTAGTTCTCAATCATATTTACAGATTAGCATTTCCTGTAGAACCTTGAAAAATGAAGCTGTGTAAGGCTCAAAGACTAGAAATACTATTTCAAACATTATAAATTATGTTCAGAATACCAGTACTTTTTTAAAGTTTTATGACTGGCCCTGATATAAATCTGAAATACTACTAGTTTACAGATAGAAGTAAAATTGCTTATGGTTGAGAAGAATATCTGAATATAACAATTTACAAAACAATCCTAAATAACTAAGCAAGATTCAGAAACTACATGAGTAATATTAATCACTTGTTTCATTTGTATTAGGAAACTGTAATAACCTACACAATTGAAAAATATTTAAATATAGTCATTTAAAGGTTGTTTATTTCCTTTAATTTTTCATTTAATTAAATAGCATTCACAATTTACTTTGATAAATATTTACTGAGTGATTGCTATGACTAAGATACTTTTCTCTGAAACTGAGAAATAAAAAAAGTATGAAATTTGATTATTGACCCTTGTACAGCTTACATGTCAAATAGAGACACAGACATGCATAAATTTTCTAAAATAAAAACTGCATGGTAAGTGCCACAATGAAATATTAACAGGTAAAGCATACCCTATACTCCCTGCAACACAGTCAAATAAAGAAGAGATCGAAGAGTTTCATGACATGGATCTCATTTGAAATGAGTCTGGAAATATAAAGAACATTTACATAACAGAAAATAAAGAAGAATCAAACACATATTTGGAGGCATGCAATAAATGATATATTTGGGAATTTGGTTGTTTACGGAAGAACACAGAAAAAAATAGAGACTATTAAGGGATACAGATATTCTCTGTACAACATTCCTTATTCTGACAACACTGAAGGCACATGTGGCATTAAAAACAGAAGACAGTCAAATCTTATTTCTCTAATGATATTTTAATTATGTTTGGGGAAAATAATGCATGCAAGAAATAGTTAAACAGCAAAATATTAATTCTAAATCATATATATTACTGCCAAATACTATAATAGCTCAGAACTTCATAGGAACATATAGCACAGAAAGAATACTATGCCTACATAATCACAGCAGTAGGCCAACAGATTTTCCCACCTCAGTTAAACACTGACCTCCTATAAGGAAAATGAAGATACAAGGTGGGACAAGACTATAGAAGGCCTTGAATATCAAGGATGAAATTTGGGGGCTTTTTAGTGGTTCATAAGTACATAAGATTATATTGTATAATCAAGTAAGCAAGGAAATGACAGAATTAATTTCTTTACAGAGAGGACTAGGATGCACTGGAAAGGGTAAGGCAATAAGCAGAGGGTTAGTTTTATGATTACTGCATAGGTACAAGAAGGAGGTAATGAAATCAAGAATGTACCAGTTGATGGACAAGAAAAAGGATGTGCTATTGCCTTGTGAGAACATTTTGACTGAAGAACAGGGCTGGATTAGTGGGTGTATAAGTTATCTTTGAAAAGAAAGGGAGATGTCAAACTTAGTTAAAGAGGGCCTTGGAAGTTTGAATATGATGTATAGGAAGCAAGTATTCTGAGGTCCTTAGCAAGGGAGCTATTTGAGAATCTCATGACTTCTATCTCTGTCATTTCAGGATTACTAGCTTTGCTTTCATTATCAGAAGATTTTAATGAAACTTATTTTGTTTTGATTTGTCTACAGCTTTGATATCCTTTTTTAGTTAATAAAAGGACAAGCATATGAATTCCTCCTGGCTTGATATGCCACTGTAAATCAAATTTAGAAATTATATACATGCTAATGTTTATAGCGGGTTGCTCTGGACGCTAACCTCATATTCTTATTACTATCTGGGGAAACAAACATGCTGACTAAATAATAGAAAAGCTCTTTGTTCATCCTAAAAGTTAAATTCCTTATTATGAATGGCATAAATGACCATTACTGTGTGATCTTATTAAAATATACAATTATAAGTGAAGTAAAATTATCTAGCTGATCAACATTCACTTAATTAGGTTGATGGTGAAAATATTTGTGGCTTAAAAAGGATTTGCCATTTGATTTCACTAGAGAGATTAGTAAAGTTATTCTCCAGACTGAAAACAAGGTTAAGAAATAATTATAATGGGGGAAAATACTGAAAAATAAATGCTATGTCCCTTGAAATAAATTTGCAGGAAATAAGCAGAAATAAAGTTCATGTTTTACCCCTCATTTAATTATATTTGTACATCTGCATGTCTGTATTTTCAAATCTTAACATTGATAATTCTTCAATAATTTATTTTGTAAAAATTTAGATTCCCAATAATATATGAAGCTGTATTTTAAATCAGTATTAAACATCCCAAACATTAATGTAATTTATATCATTGAAGATTAACAAAATAAAACTATGACTATATTAACATTGACTTGTATGTTACACAGTAATTAATAAATAACTATAAGATAGATTGCATTCTGTTCATTACTAGTCTCTCCATTTCCATATGTATGCGCATTTATCTACAAATAATGGAAAAACAAATACTTACCAAAATTGTGGTAACAATCAAAGAACGATTAGATAAGGAATCTGTGATGTTAGCTGGTTTTCCCTTTTGACTTTCTGTCATATTCAGGCCACTGGCTGGATCCCAAGTTCCAATCTATAAAATAGCAAATATACTTTGTAAATTGTCCATCGGGCACCTGAGAGAACTGCAGAGAAAGTTAAGACTGCTAACACTTATTATTCACCTCTGCTGCATTATCTCCTGTCGTTAAAGTAAAGCTGCTTGTTTTAAGCATGATTCACTGCTCTGTGAAGTGTGTCCAGTGAAGCGTGACATTAAAGAACAAAATGATCCACTGCACTGCTACAGTCGGTGTGGGAGCTTAATTTTCCATTCAAACTTTCATTCACCAAGATAAACCACATTTGATGATACCTTGACAGCTGGCTAAAACTCATGAATACGGTATATCTTTTATTATAATGGATCTATCTCATTCTCTCTTTATAAAGATAGCATGCCACATTAGGGACAAAACTAAAAGAGTAAAAAAACCTAAGGATCCAGAATAAATTAATGGGTAAAGGCAGGAATTAACTAGTAAGGAAAGAATTAACTAGTATTCTCAATTACCCCAGTAAGGCAAGGCCATACCCAGAATTATCTTTGGAACTTTTAAAAACATACCTTTGCAGCTTCTAAAATACTCTCATAAAAGGAGATTGCAGCAGTCTCATCTAGATAACTCTTATCAATACTTGCTCCTGTATTTTATTTAATATGAATTTTAATTGAACTAATATTTTTGGTAGAATAGGCCAGATACTCCTTTTCTTCTTTCCTTCTTGTCCTTCTCTCTCTCTCTCTCTCTCTCTCTCTCTCTCTCTCTCTCTCTCTCTCTGTATGTGTGTGTCTATAAAATGCTGGTGATTGAATTTAGGGGTGCTGTACCACTGAGCTACATCCCTAGCCCTTTATAGTTTTTATTTTGAGAAAGGCTCTCCCTAAGCAGTCAAGACTGACCTCAAACTTGCAATCAATCCTTCTTCTTGGTCATCCCAAGTAGCTGGGATAACATGTGTACACCACCTCGCCCAACCACGTACACTTTGTATATAGGAATTTCATACCTAGTGATCCAGCATCTAAGATGCGGAGACTATCCTCTGGGAAGACACAGATAAGTAGAGGATTCCATGGAATGCATAGATTGTGGGTCATATGGCACCTACTCTGTTGCCCTATTCTACAACAGCAGCCATCATCAAAGGAGAACAGAGACAAAGAAAGATGTGAAATCAATAGTTTTTAAAAATTTTTATCGTTCCATTTATGTTAGATGTTTATGATAGACAAATCCATTAGGACAAAATTAAGACTGCTGACTCCTGTGGAGTTTGAGAAGGCAAGAATAGGAAGCACCTTCTTAATACATAAAGAATTTCTTTGGGGGTTGGTGGAAATGTTTGGAACTAGATAGAGCTGGTGGTTTCACATTATGACTGTATTAAATGCCACCTGAGTGTTCATCTTAAAATTGTGAGTTTTGCCAGGCATGGTGGCACATGCCCATAATCCCAGCTACTCCACATCTAAGATAGGAGTCTCAAGTTCAATGCCAATCTGGGCAATGCAGTAAGACCCTGTCTTAAAATAAAATAAAAAGTGTTGAGAATGTATCTTAGTGCTAGAGTACCCCAGGTTCATCCCCCAGTATCACCAACAAAAACTTTAATTGTGTTATATTGAATGAATCTCATTTCAGTTTTTTTAAAATTTGATCAATCAATAATATAAAACAGCAGGTGTCACCTTGAATCTCATGATGAAGACTGACATAAATTCTTTGACCCTACTACAAAGTGACATTGCCACTCAGTCCACTCACAAGCCGACATGCATTTGTTAGTGACAAGCTCAGCTGTGTTTGACCCACAGCCTCTACAGAAACCATCCCTGAGAGCAACAGACTTTAAATAGTCCAAACCAGTAAGGCAATGACAGCCACTTTCCTTTTTCCTTGGCTTCCAACTCAGAACCAACCAAAGAAAGCCAAACACACATCCATAACAAGTCTCATAGGATGCATCAGTACTTGATAGCCACCTCCAGTGTCCCACGCCTACAGCCCCCAGGCAATGATACCTCTCAAGGCTATGCTTTGTTCATATTACAGGGCCTCTGAGTCCCACCCAAAGCAAGTAGCTAACTCCCTTGCTCTGGAAAACATTTTTAAATTTGTTTTTTAATTTTTGGTACTGGCAATTGAATCCAGGGGTACTTTACCATTGATTACATTCCTAGTACTTTTTTTTGTAATTTTTTTTTTATTATTAGTTGTTCAAAACATTACAAAGCTATTGACATATCATATTTCATACATTTGATTCAAGTGGATTATGAACTCAGTTTTGACATGTTTTGACATGTATGTAACCAATATAATCAATATAAAAGGCATTTCCATTTCCATTATTTTTAAAATTTAAAATCATGCAGACTGTGTTTCCTGCATGATTTATTACATGATTTCAATCACTTTAAGATGCATAGAACCCCACTCCCACATGTCAACTACTTCAAAATTAAATGACACATTTATTAATATCTCACAGGTCAAGGAAGAAAATACAAGTACATAAGAAGTGTTTTGAACTAATTGATAATAAAAGATTGAAATATGAGGATCTCTAGAATGAAACAGAACTTATATGAACATTTATAACTAAAGTACTTGTATCATAAAGAAGCTAGAGAAACAATCAAATTATTTTCAAATTAAGAAGTAGAAAGGAAAAATAAGAGTAGGAGCAGAAATATATCAAACATAGGAGAACTAATATAGCTAAAAGTTGATAACAATCAAAAAGTCTAATCAAGAAAAATGCAAAAACACAAAAATATCAAAAATATATTAAGGTAATATTGCAGTTGCATGCCAACATATGTGATAGCTTGCATAATATGGTCTATATTATACAAGGATCCTTGTGCTGCTGAGAAGAAAGTGTACTCAATCATTGACGGATGAAATATTCTATACATGTTTGTAAATTCTAAATTAACAATTGCATTTTTTACTTCTATAGCTCCTTTATGAAATCAGTAGTTCTTTTTCCTCATGCTCTCAAACCTGGGAGTTAGCAATAATGAAGTTTACCTTCCATACTACCCTAACGAACTACACAATTTATTTTCTTCAAAGGAAAGAAAACTATTAATTTACCTTTTACATTAAACATTTGTACATAAATTAAGTTATTTTAATGTGATATTGATATAGCAGGTATTATTTATTCAGTCTATCTAAATATGCAAAGTTCTCATCAACATAAGCTTATCCGTATAAATATTAAGATTCTTTCTCTTCACTATATTTCATCATATCCACTTTTTTTGGATATGAGTGACTTTCTCAGTAAACTATTGAGTTTTTCTTTTTTTTTTCATTTGAGTGACTTTCTCAGTAAACTATTGAGATATCTGTTTTACCTTAATAGAAGAAGCATAAAAGTATAAACATTAGTAATTTATTTTAATTGAAAGAAGGGTAGATATGTCATTTTAATAGGTGAATGTAAGGGCAAACTACTATATTTTTCAAGTATGCATTAAATTATACAAGGGAGTCAAAGTCTTTTTAATGATGTCTTAAAATTTTTCTTGCATATTTTCTCATATTGAGTTAAAAGTCATCTTGCTTTTAGGCACTGTGCATTCCTAATGCTTGCATCAAAAAGGAAGTATGCAATAAATTGTTGTGAAGTGTAGCCACCATGCACAACACTAGAACTTATTTTCCCTATCTAACCTGACAGTATTTTTTTCTAGTTCCCAGCAAAACATCATCAGACTAGCAAGGACCCTGCTGGAGACCTGAGTGGGGACACATGGAGAGGTGCAAAATTAGATGCTTGCTAACCTACTAAAGGGTTTCAAATTCAAAATCATTAAAAGCACTCTACTGGCTAACCAAGACACATTTGCCATTGGTATTTTGCAATGCCTGCCATTTTTATATCCCTGGTCTATAATTAATACCTATCAATTATTCCTTCCTTTATTCATGGTTGGATAAATAGGTAGGTTATTCAGCTGTACAATTCTACCAGCCAAAGCACTGGCAAACATCATTTGTCCACTTTCTTCTACCTAATGACACCTTCAAACATGATCAACATGTTTTCAACTTTCAAACAAAGCCACTGATACAAAGATGGTTTCACTTAATGACACCTTACATGATTACTTTTATAAAAAATAACGTAGCTCACTAAATAATTTTGTTCACTCATCATCATACTTGTCTAATTTCATTCTCTGTCAGTTCCCATTTTAGTACTATTTGTATAAAGGATTTGAAGCTCAAAAGCCTCTCATACAAATCAATAATTTCCAGTAATCACACATTAGTTATCACCATTGACACGTTAGGTTTCTTGGCATAATACTAAGAAGTTTCAGAAATTTTAGTAGCTTTAAGATATTAAGGTAAACAAAAATTTATGTATTCCTAGATTGTAGGATTCCTAATAGTACACAGTATGCTTTAAATTTTAAAAAAGCTACCAAACTAATACTGTTGGTTTTTTTTTTTTATTTCAATGACAAGAAATATGCACAGATAAATTCAAGAATTGTTTTTTATATTAAGAAACACTATTTTATTATTTGATTTAATCAGACTTTTTTTTTTTTTAAAAGATACTGCATATAGATCCCAGGGCCTTGTGCATGCTAGGCAGACACTCTACCACTGAACTACACTCCCACATTCCCGGCCCTTGATCAATTCTTTTAAGTCCTTTTTTTTTAACTTTTCAGTTCTGAAATAGGTACAATATATCTATGTACTGCTGTCCTCAGAAAATTTGTTTATGTATGGTGGTGACTCTGCATCTTGTTCTGCCCAACACTTCAAGTTTACAAATTTCTTTCTAATATAATTATTAGTAAACACTCTTGTCCAAATAAAAATGTCATAGTTCAAATAATAAATTAATTATAAGTTCACCCTAATTATAAGAATTAAATTAGATACAAAATATGAAAGTTCTCCAAAAGCATAAACTATAGAAAATTATGATTTAATTCTTTTTATTATTTATTTATTTATTATTTATTATTTATTATTTATTTATTTATTTATTATT